TGGTAATCATGTAATATGATGAATATGTTAATTAGCTTGGTTGTGGTAATCATAAGTATGCAAATACCCTAAATATATGTAATTTTTATTTGTAAATCATACCTCAATAAAGCCTGAAAAATTGTAGTGTGTGTATATATATATATATATACACACATTGGAATATTATTCACACTTTAAAAAGCAAGATACAGAAGGACAAGTACTACATGATCTCACTCACATGTGGAATCTAAAATACTCAAACTGAAAGCAGAATGGTGTTGCCAGAGGTGGAAAGGAGAGGGAGAAATGAGGAGATATCAATTAAAGGTTACAAAGTTTCAGTTATGCAAAATGAATGAGTTCTGAAGAGTTAATGCACAACGTGGTGTCTATATTACAACGCAATACTGTATTGGACAACTGAAATGTCCTAAGATAGTAGATCTTAAGGGTTCTCACCACACACACAAAAAGGTAACCCTGTGAGGCAATTGATATGCTAATTATTTTAAATGGGATGACCATTTTGCAGTGAACACATATTTCAAACTATCAAGTTGCACACTTAAATACTTACAATTCTTGTCAATTATACCTCAATAAAACTGGAAAAGGAGAATGAAGGAGAATAAACGAGACCATGTGGCCACATACTGGTTGACCTCCCACTGAAGGTCAATCCTCCTTTCAAATGACTATCATAAATCTCTTTTTTGTGTGGGTTTCTGTATTTCCTCCCTCTCTCAGTCCCTTCAGCCATAACGGTGTAAACAACTCTGCCACCTCTTACCCCTGATTATACACTGACCTGTGTTGTACTCTACCTATAAACTCATAGACAGTATCTCGTTAAATCTTTTTCAAATTAGCCTATTTGAGTACGTCATTAACTTTTTTGGAAGCTGGAATTCTAAATAATTTTTTATAAGTGTATCCTTCCTTGAGTGTATTGACTTGTTTCATCCTATTGACTCTACCTTTACAACTAAGATGCTCCATTGTATTAGACAATATAAAGTCCCACCCTCTCCTTTCTGTTTCATGAAGCTGGGGGCTTCCATCCTCTGCTTTCAAGCATTTCTGTTGTCTCCTATGCCTACTGTACAGCTGTCATCTTAAAAGTGCCTTTTGATCCCTTTGTGATTCATAAGAGTGATGATTGAGTTTTCACACTCCTGTGTGAGATGTACCTCCCTCAAATCTTATGACATGTGCACATTACCTGACACATGAAGAAAGAAAAAGGAAAAGAAGAGAGATTAGGATTTTTTAAAAATAAAGTGGGTTTAGCCACTTTTCATTGCATATATTAATTTATTGATCTCATTTCTTCCTCTTGTTTTAGTGGAACACATTATCCTACACTTTCAAAAAAAAAAAAGAATGCTTGTGAAGTAAACTTTATAAATTTTTGCATGGCTAAAAATGTTTTATTCTATCGGCCTAACTGATAGATTTGTTCTATATAGAATTCTAGGCTGAAAATCAGTTTGAAGAACTTTTCCACTGTATTCTAGGGATGAGTTTGCTACAAAACATTCTCATACCATTTGAATTTCTGCTTATTTGTGATCTACGTGAATTTGCTACAAAGCATACTCATGCCGCTTGAATTTCTGCCCATTTGTGATCTATGTGGTTTTGTTTTCTTAATAATTTTATAATATTTTCAATCTTTAAGGTGGTAAAATTTCAGAAAAATGTGCCTTGGGATTTTTTTTTAATCTTGTGCTGGGCATTCAGTAAATTTTTTACATTGAAAAAATTAAGCATTTTTGTTCTAAGAAATTTATTTTGTTTTGTTTTAATTTAATCTCTCTGTTTTCTTGTCCTTCTGGAATACCTGTCAGTTAAATGGTTTGCCCCCAACTCGATGCCTTATGTTCCTCGCTTTTATCTTTCCTTTTCTCCGTTTCTTTGACTTTTTTTATTCTACTTTCATCAAGACTGTATTTTTATGTCTTCTTTGACTACTTGTTTTCTTTCAATCCCATATTAATCTGTTTTAATTTTTTCTTTTTTATTTTACTTACTTTTCAGAAATAATTTGTTCTTTATTTTTCAATGCATCATATTCTTATTTAAAGATTACAAATATTTTCTTTCATTGAGGAGAAGATACCGTTTTAAATTTTTTTTTCACTGAATTATCTCTAATTCCACCAGATTCCTTTTGGCTTTTTTAAACGCTTACTTCACTTTTTTTCTTTTCTTTTTACATTAAAAATGCAAATTTTAAATTTACATAAGGCAAAAAGATTGATCTCTTAAGCCAGCTTACTACTTGGTAGGCTTCTGGTCAAGGTTCCAGTACAGAGGTAGCCATTTGTAATCTCCAAAGGCTTTAACATTGTTTGTTTCTTTTTTTCTTTTTCTTTTTTTTTTAAGACAGAGTCTTGCTCTGTTGCCCAGGCTGGAGTACAGTGTCACCATCTCAGCTTACTTTAACCTCTGCCTTCCAAGTTCAAGCGACTCTCCTGCCTCAGCCTCCTGAGTAGCTAGGACTACAGGTACCCGCCACCACACCCAGCTTTTTCTATTTTTAGTAGAGACAGGGTTTCACCCTGTTAGTCAGGATGGTCTCAGTGATCCTCCTGACCTCACGATCCTCCTGCTGATGACAATATTCTGTCTATGACTCATATGCCACCATTAGCATCTGGGAGCAGAAAGAAACGATGGATGATTGGACTGTTCCTTTCTCTTAATCTTCATTAGCAGCCCTGAACCTCACCGCCCCCTGACCTGGCATCCTGGCATCCCAATCATTGTAGGGATTCAGGAAGCAAATCTCTGGCCTTTTCTTCAATATTTCTCTCTATTGGTAATTAGACTTAGCCTTCCCTATACTACCAAATCAGTTACTACTTTTTTTGTCTTACCTTTTCCAAACTTTGGTTGAAATCTATTATCTGCATCTAAGTTCTATCCTACTTCTTTGTTCCTATGGGTCTAAACCATTTTTTTTCTGGCTGCAAATGTTGTTACTGTTATTGTTGCTGTTATTATAATAGTTTGCTCATAGGAAAGAAAAGGAAACCTAATGTATTCTATCATTTTAAATATAATTTGTTTGTTGTTTATCTGAAAAACTCAGAAGTTTAAAAAAAAAATAGAATGACACTTTTGCAAAGGGAAATTAATATGAAAATAACTATAAGAAAATACAATAACTATAAGAAAATTTTAATCATCAGAATGTTAATGGTATGAGATGATGTTAATGTAAATGTATGAGAGGACTGGAGTAGAAAAACCATTTTAAAGACTTTTCAAAAGTCCCACCCCAACTACTGTAAAAACCAGATTGTCCGCACTTGGCTTCAAAAGAATTATCTTCCTCTTATAAGGTCATTCTAAATTATTGAAGTTTAAAAGAGCCCGAGGCAAGCCAATACAATGTTTTAGCTGGGTCACCATAAATAATGTCAGGTCCCCATAACTAAGGAAAAAAATAGAAATTGGAGTTATAATCAACAGATTCTGACAAGTACCTACTGTTCAGGACCCTCTGTTCCATACGTGTGGAATAGAGAAGTAATATACATCACTTACATCCTTCATAAGTTGTGGAACTGAGATAAAAATCCATTTAAAAAGAAAAAAGTAAGTGATATTTTATAAACTATATACAGGATTGCTTAAGGCATATAGAAAATAAATGTTGAATAAAAATAATCAGGGAAGAATTCTTGAACGGTATGAGTCATGAGACAAGATCTAAGAAAATTTATCAGAAGAAAAATGTCTTTTCCAAAATACTGAGAATACTTATTTTTCAACTTTGCTAAGTAAGAATACCAAAAAAGAAAATGTGCTTATTCCATTTTGTCCTTTTAAAGAACTGAAGACAAGTTCAACTAAAAATTTGTAATAGAATTACATCTCCTTGGTCATCTCAATAGTTCAAATGTCAACTCATTTTAGTCGTTCTAATCTAGCCTGTGTATTTATTGCAAAAATAAAAAGTAAGATTGCTTTCAGTAAAAACAGTATTATAGTATTGTGGTAGAAGAGTATTCAAATTTTCCAAGAGAATCTTTAAAAAAATTGCTGTGCACCTCAAAATATGTAAAGTTCTATTTTTTTTTTCCTGTACAAAAACCACCCTTTGGGGACCGGGAACGGTGGCTCAAGCCTGTAATCCCAGCACTTTGGGAGGCCGAGGCGGGTGGATCATGAGGTCAAGAGATCGAGACCATCCTGGTCAACATGTGAAACCCCGTCTCTACTAAAAATACAAAAAAACTAGCTGGGCGAGGTGGCGCGTGCCTGTAATCCCAGCTACTCAGGAGGCTGAGGCAGGAGAATTGCCTGAGCCCAGGAGGCGGAGGTTGCGGTGAGCCGAGATCGCGCCATTGCACTCCAGCCTGGGTAACAAGAGCGAAACTCCGTCTCAAAAACAAAACAAAACAAAACAAAAAAAAAAAAAAAAACCACCCTTTGGGCAATTCACTGATTTATACTAACACCTTTCATTGTAGAAAGTTTATATTTCTAAGTCGGTATTTGTTGTATTGTATTATAATTTTCTCCTTGCAAATCTGTTTCCTCTACTAGATTGTAATACTTATAGGAAAAGACTAAGAAAGGAAGAAAAAAATAAGAAGGAAGAAAAGAAGGAGAGAACAAGAGTGCAGCTTCCAGTAAATTACACTACTGTTTTGAAGAGGCATGATCTGGTGAGAAGATATAATCAGGGATATCTTTCTCTTCTAACTCCATTCTAATTTACTGAATTGTAGCTTAAGGGCATTTCATGTGAGCAGAAGGAATCTAATGGGTTAAGTGAGATATTAGGTAGCAGTGTTAACTCTTTCACTCTAGAATTAAGAGAGGATAAATCTTATCAAGCATGAAAAGGTTTAAGTTTGGACTGTCTGAAATAGCCTCAAATTATTTTCTGCTAGGCAAAATATAAAAGCTACATTTTTGGAAGTATTTTTTTTCATTGTTAATAAATTAAGGATCACTGAAGTGATAAACTAAGTCTCTGATTTTGCAATTCTGACAAACTATTCTTTCTGCTTTTCCTCCAACGAGATCTTGCTATTCCACAGACGGCTCATGGCATTCTTTACATCTTTATTCCTCAGTGTATAGATGAGTGGGTTCAGCATTGGGGTGATGGTGGTATAGAACACAGACACAGCTTTATCCAAAGGGAAAGTAGTGGATGGGCGGAGATAAATAAAGATACACGGAACAAAGAAGAAAGTCACTACAGTCAGATGAGACCCACAGGTAGAGAGAGCCTTCCGTCGGCTCTCTGCAGACTGTTTTCGAAGACTAAACAGAATGACTATGTAGGAGACCAAAAGAATGAGGAAACACCCCAGGGAGATGAGACCACTATTGGCAACTACCAACATGTTTACCAGGGTTGTATCAGCACAGGCAAGTTTTAGGACTGGGTGGACATCACAAAAGTAGTGGTCGATAATCTGGGCATTACAGAAGGGCAGCTGGAAGGTCAGGAGGGTCTGAACAAAGGAATGACCCAGGGCTCCCAACCAGGACAGTGATGCCAGCACAGTACAAGCATTAGCACTCATGATGGCAGCATAACGGAGGGGTTGGCAGATAGCAGCATAACGATCAAAAGCCATGACGGTTAAAACAAAAATCTCAGCACAACCAAAAAAGTGGAAGGTAAACATCTGAGTTATGCAGCCCCAGTAGGAAATAGTCTTTTTCTCAGAAACAAAGTCTGCCATCATCTTGGGTGCTGTGGCTGAGGAATAGGCAATGTCCACAAAAGACAAGTTGCCGAGGAAGAAATACATGGGTGTGTGTAATCGGGGGTCAGAAAAAACCATAAGCAAAATGAGCAAATTTCCCACCATGATCACGATGTAGAAGAGGAGAAATAAGGCAAAGAACATCAATTGCATTCCAGAATCTTGGCAAAGTCCCAGGAATATAAACTCAGTGACATTGTTGGCCACTCTCATGGGGCCCCAGGCAGTACTGGTTGAATGGCTCTGATTCTCTGCAAAAATAAACACATGTTATAAACCATTGTAAGCATGGTAAAGCCTCCTTGATGTTAAATATGGTAGAGGAAGTTCTTCATATTTCTTGAACATAGTTCATGAATATTTTTCTTGTCATTAACTTTATTTCCATATTATTAACTCCCATTTGAATTTCTTTTATAATTAGTCGTACAGTTCCTTTTTTCCTACAAGAACCTAGAAAATCTGAGACCTTTCAATTGAATTCAACGTTTTTCCCTAATCAGTGCTCTCTTTCCCCCCACCTCCAACTTCTCTTGTCAGAAATTTGCTTTGGGTGAAAACTTCATTTAATATTTTTTGAAGTTCTAAATAAAAGCACGAAGTCAGAGTATAAGATCTGATGTTGCCGGGCGCGGTGGCTCACGCCTGTAATCCCAGCACTTTGGGAGGCCGAGGGGGGTGGATCACGAGGTCAAGAGATCGAGACCATCCTGGTCAACATGGTGAAACCCCGTCTCTACTAAAAATTCAAAAAATTAGCTGGGCATGGTGGCACGTGCCTGTAATCCCAGCTACTCAGGAGGCTGAGGCAGGAGAATTGCCTGAACCCGGGAGGCGGAGGTTGCGGTGAGCCGAGATCGCGCCATTGCACTCCAGCCTGGGTAACAAGAGCGAAACTCCGTCTCAAAAAAAAAAAATAAATAAGATCTGATGTATAAAATTCCAGAATTCTTCAAATATAATATGTACTACTCAGCTATGGAAAAGTAACATTTTATTTAATCAAGAGAGGAAGACTCAGTGTCCAATTTCTCAATTAGATTGAAAGTCTCAGTTCAATTAAAAATTAAGTCATTTTTAGTACTTTGAGGAACATTGAGGAAGTTTGAATCATAAGACTTGACTTGCATATGAAAATTCCATTTTGCATGCCAATAAGGAATACACGAGAAGTAAACAACTTATAGAGAGAAATACTATTTTCTATGTTGCTGTAGAGTTGAAACATTTAAAAATTACTGAGTTCCTTATCACCCTCAGTCTCTTTGCAGGTCCCTATCATTCTCAATCCTTTTGCCTTGGAAAAGACCCAGATAACTCTCTGCCCTTGTATTCATAGGTAAAAATTAGGAATGAATTTTCCATACAGATGTTATAAATGATAGTTCTCCATCTCGAAAAAAAAAGTGTCCAAAGCAATTTTATAAACTGTAATTAGAATGCTTATGTCATACAAAGACTGGATAAAAATGATCAGAAAAAAATTATTAAAGGAGGTTATTAGACATTGAGATCTAAAGTTTCTTGAAATAAAAATGGCTTTTCTGAAATATGGAAATTACTAGCTATTCTTCATCTTTACTCAAAATACCTCTTTTCTGCATGGGTAGCAGAAAGAGCACTGCCCAGAAGCTGAGTGATGTAAGTCTGAATGCCCTTATCAGCCTTATAACATTGGGTAAATCTATTTATCTTCCCTGAATCCCAGTTTTCTCATCTATAGATGAATGATAAAATTTTTTATCTCACGAAGCTGTTTCAGAATTAAAATGAGATAATCTATAAAACATGTTCTTAATTTATTAGGTGTTTTCCTTTTAATTTGAATCTATAAAGTGGAATCTCTCTAGCAAGCACAATTTGTAATTTGATCTATTTAGCTATTATATTAAAGCTATATAATGTAACTACTAGAAAATATTGAAACATATATAATTTTATTTAGGAGATAATAGCTATATTATCTGCCCATCTCCATGAAAGAAATACCATAAATAGTAGCTAACATTTGCTGAGCATTTTACCATGTACAGAATCATGTGCTAAACTCTTTGCATGTTACTTCGTTCCATCCTCACAACAATATCATAATTTTTATTATCTCCATTTTACAGAGCAGAGCACTAAAGATTAAAGAGGCAAATTGTCCAATATAATTTTCAGTGAAAAGGCTGGTATTTGAATTGTGGTATTCTTATTCCAGAACACACATAACTTACATATCCTTAAATAAATGTTAGGTAGATAAAAAGATTAGCTAGATAGATGGCAGACAGATGATAAGTTTCTCATTAAAAGAACTGAATTTATTTTATTTTTATTATTATTATTATTGAGACAAAGTCTCACTCTGTTGCCCAGGTTGGAGTAAAATGCCGTGATCTTCGCCCACTGCAACCTCCGCTTCCTGGGTTTGAGCGATTCTCCTGGCTCAGCCTCCCAAGTAGCTGAGGTTACAGACACCTGCCACCACATAAAGAACTGAATTTAAACAATTGTTTTCTTATCATGCAAAGTGCTTCGACTGGAGAATATGTTTCACATTCCTAAAATCTTTGTACTGTCTATGCTCTGTACCAGCAAAGCCAAATTGTGCTCAGTCAGCAGTTGGCAAAATCATAAGGGTTGAAAAATGTTTAGATAAATAAAAAACACTTAGATTGTACTTACTATATGCCAAGTTTGATTCTAGGTGTTTTACATATTATAGCTCATTTAACTCCCATAATGATCTTACAAAGCAGTCTATCACTATTATTCCCACTTCAGAAATGAGAAAACTGAAGCACAGAAAAAGTAACTTGCCCAAGGTCATAAAGCTAGTGATTGGCAGAGCTGACATTTGAACCTAGGCAACAGGACTTCAAGATTTATTTTCTTAACTACTATGCATACCCTGGTTCTGATGGCATCAAAGCTACCAAATATCTTTCTCATTTGAAAGCCTTAAACCTTCTGCAATAATCAAAAGACTCCTTTTCTTCTAATCATGAAAAGTGTGTGTGTGTGTGTGTGTGTGTGTGTGTGTGTATGTGTGTTTGTTTTGTTGTTTTGTTTTGTCTTTTTGTTTTTTTCCTTTTTGTGGAGAACGGGATCTCGCTATATTGCCCAGGCAAGTCTCGAACTCCTGGGCTCAAGCTATCCTCCCGCCTCTACCTCCCTAAGAGCTGGGATTACAGGCGTGAGCCACAGCGCCCAGCCATGAAAAGTTTTTTTTTTTAAGTATATACACTGCTTAGAGACAAAGACTATAGCTACAACTGGTAAGATCATCAAGGCACACAGTCTGTGCCCAGCTTTTCTCAAATTAAGTTTACAGTGGGGATATAATAACAAGTGATGTGATACTGATCATTAATTCAGTCATTATTTGATTCGGCAAGTGTTGCCAATCAAGTGGAGGAGGTCAGCATGCAAATTATCACAGTTCCTGTGAAAGGGCTCAGGAAGGAGACCCAGGACAGACAGGATTGCCTTTTCAAAGGCTGTCACTGAGTAGAATTCTGATAGCTGAGTTAGAGTTAACCTGATGATGATGAGGATTGCAGGATGTGGGCACAAAAGAGTAGACAGGGCAGGAAGGACTTTCCAGGCCTAGCAAATAAAATATACGAAGGTAAAAGGGTATAAATCATTACACTATTCTCTCTGGGAAGTGCCTACACGTTTAACATGATTCAGCACAGAATCCACATAGGGATGTGTCAGGAGATGAGGCTGAAAAGAAGACAAGCCTAGATTACAGAATCATGTATGTTATGCTTAAAAGTTAGCAACTGATCTTGAATTAATTGGGGTGTCATAAAGATCACAACCACAGGAGGAGAGTGGAAGGTAAGTGAGAGAAGTTGTGAAAAAGAAGATTCCTGGAGCCCAGCTAGGTTCAAATTTTTGGCTTCACCGCTTGCTAACTGTACGACTTTAGGCAACTTACTTCACTTTCCTTTGCCTCAGTTTTCTCAGGTGTAAAATGTGGATAAGAATAGTACATTTATATAGAGTGTTACACATAGTAAATATATATTACATATAAAACACTTATGTGCATAACATACTCTAAGCAAATATAGCATTAACATTATCCATCTTAGCTACCAGAGAACATGCTGATGAGAAGGGACAGAAGCCCGGATAGGAGTCATCTTAGAACACTAACCTCTTTACTATATTCATCTCCTGATTCTCACCTATATGCATGCTCATGCTTGTCCAAATCTTAGACTGTGTATCTACTGTTCACACTTACCCTCTCAAATATATTCTTCTGACTGGAGCAGCAACAGAGTACATTTGATATCCTTGCCTAGATGTATTTAGGAGTTCAAGCATGAAGCCCAAAGATGTTTGGGCAGCTGCACTATTCACCATAAGTGGTGACAACTATGATCCTCCTCAGGAGTTCATCAAATTGATCAAAATCTAGGACCCAGGATCTTTTTACTAACTTTGCTGGGAGAAACAGCACAAGACTTAAAGATAGACCAACTCACAGCTCTGCCTCTTCAGACTGTGTAACATTAACATAATTTTTCTAACATCTATTAATCTCCCCTTTGAGATAATGCTACCCGTGGTAAGACTCAAATTAGATAATGAAAAAAAAAGCAATAAACAACTTGCCAAACAAACTCTTCATCATTTTTGTGGTGGAATTTCAGGAACAGTCAGACATCTGAACTCTATGAACAAGAGCCTCCATGGGATGGATTGTTTCTACTGGTCTACCTGGGTTCTTAGGTTAAACTTGATCTAAGACAATGCTAAAGAATATGTATTAGTTAAGATAGGATTTGTGTAGCTAAAGGAAGAAGTTTCCTCCTTTATTTAACTACATGAGCCCATATAAATTATTTCCAATAGAACAATTTCAAAGAATGCAACTCTTGGTATCTTCGAAGAAAGATATATTCTTAGTTCCTCTCATGAGGGATTTACAAAGGGCAGCCATAGACTATTCTGGATTTCTTTCCTAACAGCAGGCTCTATGTCACAGAAAACTTTTTCTGTAACAGTGCTCTTGACTTCGATATCCTTCATAGAGACATCATGACATGTGTGCATGTTTTTATATCTCTTGTCACCTGACATAATTTTATTACTTATTAATCCTATCCTGTTCTCCTAACTGTTCCCAATTGAGGAAACAATTTACCAATCTTTGTGGAGCTAAAAGATAAGAAAAAATATTGAAAAAAATCTGCAAATGAGTTTGTATAGCACAATATATGATTGCTTAAGGTATCATCTATTTGATTTATATTTCATAAGTACCAATATTAATTTATGCTTTCACTTAATATTTACTAAACATATCTGTGTCTGGCACTGCACTGCGGTAAAAAGAGGAATACAACCCAATTCCTGACATAAAACCATTTATTTTAGAGCAACAGTTTTAAATGACCTCCCTAAATCATCTTAGACTGAAGCATAATTTACGTTAAGACCTATACTTATCTATGTATAAAGGATTTTAGAGATCATTTTATTTTATCCCACTCATTTAACCATTGGGAAACAAATAAGGTACAGAGAGGAAACTAAATTATCTAAGTTTACTGCTGGTGGTAAACCTGGTAAACCTAGGACTGAATTCCAATTGAAATTATATTGATACACGCTTTAAATTGTAATATACTATTTCCTAAATTATTTAATTACTAGAACAGATATTGTAAAGTGGGTGAAGAATTTACAGAAGTAAAGAATTAATCTTTGAATTTAATTTGAATCAATGACAATTAACCTTGCCTCTTTCACTGGTGGTTTAAGGTATCACTCTAGACGGAAAGCTTACCCTGGCTGTTTTCTTGAATGTGGTCCCACCACATGGATTTGAATAATCCAAGATCTTGGATCAGAAAAGCCTCTGAAATAAAAATGCGATCAATACCCAGATATGCACACTAAAAGGCTGAGATTTATATAATGATGCTTCTCTCACGCACGTGCCACATTTCCTCTTCTATAACCTAAAAAGAGGCCCTGAGTTTGTTTTCTCTTTCTCTCTCTTCTTTCTCTCTCCCTCAAAAAAGATAGTGTTTTATGGGGTTACAGCCATGCCATAGCTTCTCATCTTAATATGCAAAAGATTTCTACATTCCTGGCTGCCAAGGAGAAGAAACTCTCAGCAATCTTTACACATCATCAAAGCCCTTAGGGAATTGATGGACAAGTGATTGGGCAAGCAGCTGGAGAATATAATTAGGCAGAGAAAGTACAAGTGTATTCTCTGCTGAATAACTTCTTGTAAAACCATACTGAAAGCTGGCCAAAAATAAGACTTTTAATTAGAGTATTGAAGGTGAAAAGTAGGTCAATAATTCCAGCAAAATCAACAGCATGTTCAGAGGCATAGAAGTTTGAGGAAACTGCACATAGTTCAGAGGTTCAAACAGTGGAACAGGACTGACCAAAAATTGAAATTAGGATTGATAATTGATCTCGGAACAAGTGTTTCTACTAGAAAAGGCCTAAGGTGTAGAACGGTGCTGTAGTATGAAAAATCTTAGTTATTATCCTGCATTTTCTTATCCCCATGCAGACTCTATACCCCTACAGAATTTCGTGATAATATTTCCACCAGAATCTGAGGTAGGATAGAACATGTAAACATAAAGTATAGATTTGATTAAATAAGGGGAAGAGACTGGTAGGGCTAGGATGTATACGTTAATTGACTCAATTGAGCCATTTTACTATGTAGACGTATTTATTTCAAAACATCCTGTTGTACAGGACAAATATATACAAGTTTTACATGACAAATAAGTAAGAACCATGCACAGATGTGGGCAGAGTAGGGGGAGTCAAATGCTCACTTAAAGAGTTAAACACTAGAACTGCACTGTATTTACGCTATAGATTTCAGAATTTCCTCTAAGTAATGGAAGCTCACCAGGTATTTTCAAGTATTTATTTACAGAATAATTACAAAAAGCTTTTTGGGAAGATAAAGAACTTAAGGACAATAAATTAAATAATTGCCATGATAAATTAAAAAATAGGCGACATGAGTAAGCCACTTCATTAAGGAAGAACTAATGAAATCTGAATAAAAGGTACAATGTAGTTAATAATAATGCATCAGTATTGGGTTATTCATTTGACAAATGTACCACAGTAATACAACAATATGGAAAATAGGATGAGGTATAATTATATTCTGTGATATTCAGCATTTCCAACTTTTTAGTAATAGCCATTCTGATTGGACATGATAGTCTCTCATTGTGGTTTTGGTAGGCACTTCTCTGATTAGTGATGATGAGCACGTTTCTCCTATTTGTTGGGAAAATCCATCCCAAATATCTATGGAGCCCAGGACAAGAGTACAAATGAAGCCCATGTAACATATGTCTAAAAGCTATATGTCAAGCTAACAAATGTAAATAAAAAATCTCATAGCCTCATAATTACTGGAAGGCCAGTTTCCAATCGAAAATCCTCAGGCACCTTGAATTTCAGCACTGGAACATGTCAGCATGAGCAGAGCAGGCCTTTGACCCTCAGACCTTCAGTCCACCTCTTCTCAGTTTCAAACCCCACCATAAGGGGTCTCTCAGGTATGAATGTGGACTCTGCTGCCCAAATGTGCAGGCTTTGTCCACATGCTTTACACACAGGGCCCCTCAACCAGCTCTGCAGTTTGGGGGTGCATACACAGTATGGTTCACTCTCAGGAGGACAGAGAAGAGGCTCAGGCAAGCTGTGAAAGTGGGCTCATGGTATCGGAACAGGAAACTCTGGAGGACCAGGCACCTAGATAACATCAATCCTGTGCAGTCTCAAGAAACAGAAATGTTATCATTTATTAATAAAAAGAATTTTAATATATATATATAATTGGTTAAACAAAGAGACTTGAAAATGCAAAGGGGAATACAAAAAGCTCTTGCTTTTCTTACAATAATGCTACCAATTCCAGCTGTCAACAGGACATTTAAAATGATTTGCCAAGACTCTAAATTTTGCTATTAAGGAGGAACATCAGAAGAAGGGGATGTTGTAGCCAGCTTATACTAAGAGAAAGGCTGGAGCTCTATGGCCTTGAAACATGCCTGGTAATCCACAGAACCACTCAGATCTTCCTGTTAACTCACACACTACTCTCAGCAGTTTCCTGCACTTCAGGATATTCAAGATACTATCTTCAGAATATCATACTGCTCCTCAGGATATTTATCATATGCAAAAGACTCTGAAAATGCTGAGTGGAGTGATGCAAAAGAGGAGAACATGATGTACCAGATATGCCATTCTCACCCTTACTCATACTATTTAAGAGTCCCCCAAATGGCAACCTAGTTCCGAGTCTCTGAGGAGTCCTTCTGTAGCAATATATACATACACACATACATACATATGGCTGCTTAAATATAAAGTCATTAACTCCCAACACAAAAATAAAGACATTTTTATAGCCATGAAATGTTGCAAGGATCCTATGTCAGAGATAGATAACCTTAAATGTAAATGTTTAAGTTAACCTTTTTAGGAATCTTACAGCTCTGAAGCTCCTATACAGGTATTATAGAAATTAAGTAATCCGGCCTGGCACAGTAGTTCATGCCTGTAATCCCAGCACTTTTGGAAGCCAAGGCAGGAAGATCACCTGTGGTCAGGAGTTCAAGACCAGCCTGGCCAACATGGAGAAACGCCGTCTCTACTAAAAATATTAAAAGTAGCAGGGCATGGTGGATGGGCACCTCTAATCCCAGCTACTTGGGTGGCTCAGGCAGGAGGACTGCTCGAACCTGGAAGATGGAGGTTGCAGTGAGTCGAGATCACACCAGTGCACTCCAGCCTGGGAGACAAGAGTGAGACTCTGTCAGGAGGAAGGAAGGAAGGAAGGAAGGAAGAGAGGAAGGGAGGAAGGGAGGAAGGGAGGGAAGGAGGAAGGGAGGGAGGGAAGGAAGGAAAAGGAAAGGAAAGGAACAGAACGGAACGAAAAGGAACAAAGCAATCAATCTGTAGAGTTGGGATAAATACTCTAAGGAGAAAAAAAATTAATTATGTAATTATTACCTTTCTTGATTGATTACTTTTTTTCTAAGTGGTTGTCGGCAAGTCACTTAACTCTGAGTTCATTCTCAAAAATGAAGTTAGGTAATATTATTTGTTCCTCAATACATGTTTGAGACTCAAAGGTAATAACTGCGAACATCCCAACAATGAGTGCTTTCAACCACAGTCCAGTTTCT